ATAAGCGGTTATCTCTTTGTACACCTTCTAACATTTGGAGATGAGTTCACTGTTACATTCAGTGATTGATATGACTGGCTTTTGAACTGTACACAGATTTCAAGCTAGATTCTCCAACTCCTCTTTAGCGTGTTTTTTTTTTAAAGATACGTTCAAATTTTTGTATAAGACCACGCAGCTTTCAGCTTCACCTATTGATCTTCAGTCAGCTTGGGCCCAGGCAAAGCTGGATCCTTTACAAGTGGTATAATATTTGCGTGTTTGCATGCTAAAGTGTTAGCTGTTGATGCAAGGACGAGCTGTCAATTCAGTTTCATGCTGACAGCAGATCCTGATATTGTGATTTTTCACTACATAAACATATCTGTTTTCATTGCTTCCTTAAAGCCGTTTTAAGAGATGCAATGCATAGTGACGTTTCTGTCAGTTGTGAAATGTCCCTCATTCATGACTTTATTCAGACATCCCCACATAATTAAAAACTATAGTATGGTTGCCTCCTCTTATGATTCTCTCTCAAGTCTCATGCCCTATAGGGAGAATGGTCAAAACCTGTCTGAACATAATTGCCTGAGTTGCACACGTCTGCTTACAAAAGGTTAATAATTAGACCCACCACTGAATGTAACCTTTCCCTACTGGTCAGTTACAAGTCGAGGTTGTATTTGTATCCAGCTATTTGACTTTGATAAATACTTTCAGCTTCATAGGAATAATAGCGTGCTGCTTTAAATGTGAATGTTGCATGTTTTTAGGCACATGGCCCAGCACTGATGACCGTTAATTATTCAGAGAGAGAGAAAAAGGATCGTTAGGGCCTAACGGTAAATTTCAATCTGTTTTTCTTCTTCTACTGACATAGGTAAGCTGTGACACAGACTAAAAGATTAGTTGTCAAATAATTTGTTAAACATAATGTTGTAGTCTTTTTTTTTTTTATTCTTTGTATTTTTAAAAAATATAGGTAAAAATATATTTGTAAAGTTAATGTTTATATGTATAAATTCAAAGTCAGTATTTGCAGTAGTGGTTATTGTATCAATATATTGTGCATAAATGTTTTCCTGTAACTATCCCTACTATGACCCCTTTAATCATTCATTTAAATTGACTTAATTAATGTAGTTCAATTTAGTTTGTGCAGTTCAATTCAGTTTCATGCTGACAGCAGATTTGGTTTGATAATCACTGAATTAATTGGAGTCAAATTCTTGCACCTTTTAAATGTACAGTGGCAGCTAAACACTATTTAAAGCTGCTTTAATATTTTTTGAAATTATTAGTAAATCATTACTATGCGTTTTCATTTTAGTTTAACATTGCATAGACGTTTTTTCTTTCTTTTTTTTAAACAGGGTCATGAAAAACAGCACTTAACAATTTCATGTCTATTACTGCAATAGGGAATTACTTTACTTTGTAATAATAACTAGAGGCATATGATATAGAGTATGAAGTGCCAAGCCTTTGTTCTTCATTGTTTGCTGTCACATACTCTGTGAATCATTGGCATTATTTCAATTGAACCCTACCCTCGTCTCCTGCTCCTCCCCCAGCTCTATGTCTGTGTCGCGCTACCTCTCTCACTTCCTTTCTCTCCTGCTGTGTGCTGGGTTGCGCATGCTCTCCCTTCGTTCCTCAATACATCCATGATAACGGCAAAAACAAATCCTTGGATAATAAGAATATAATAATAACAATCAAAGATTGCTTTTTAGCCAAGAATCTGTAGAGGTGTGGCATGGATATGCATCTGGGTTCTGTGCAGATAAGTCCTCACGTAAGTCAGATGGGCCTTTTTGTCATTTAGCATGATTCCATATATTTTTTTATTTGTTCGTTTGTTTTAAATCATCATCTGATTATTGCTGCTCATTTTCTTTTCTCCCTTCTGTACGTTGAGCATCTCTGTCTGCCTCCTATTGCTGTGTCATTCCTGCCTTTGCGTTCTGCATGCATCCCTGCCCCCTCCCATACCTTAATGCTGGCTTCTGATGCTGTCTTGTGATGCTTGAGTGGAACCAACCGCATGCTGAATACAATTTAGGGTAAATTACAGGATTTACCCGTGTATGTAACACCAGAATTAATGTTGCTTTAACTAAATCACAGATATAACACTTGGCATGAATACTTGGTTGAAATTGGGTTGAAGAACATGGTGCACCACACTGCTGTGATAGCTGATAGAATTCTTAATAATTAAAGTGAGGGTGCCTTTTCCTGCAGCAAAGCCCTCATTCTAAACAAAACAAAACCAGCTTTTCTATTACTTAACGGTTAACAACAGACATCATCCACATTTCTTTCAAGGTACTTGATTTTGGAGGCAATGATGGAAAGCTACAAAATGCTACTGAAAACATACTATATTTGAAAGATGTAGAGGTCCAGGCCTGAAAGTGAAGCCAATGTGGATACACCTTATACCTGCTATTTTAGCAGAAGGAAGTGGATTGTGTAGAACGCTATACATGGAAAATAGCGCTACTACCCATTTGATTTGTGACCCCAGTAAACACTTTCAGTGGAGCTCAGTGGCTAGATTCATGGCTCTGTCCTTCAGGGTAGGACCATCTTATGATACTTCAGCTTCTCAGTCTCAAACCTTGATTGTCAGATGTGGTTTCAATAGACTAGCTGCAGTTATTTCTTCAAGGCCATGCTTAGCTTACTAGTTTCTCTTGTGTTATTTCCATTAAACTCAAAAGTTTGCAACAGAGGCAGCATAATGATAACAACACACTGACTATCTGTGAGTTGCTAGCTGTATGTTCTGTGGAAGAAATATTGGCTCAAGTTTTAGGATTTCTGCTTTAAAATGGTGTTAGTACCTGACAAGAGCAAGACTGTTGATTTAGAGCTATATGCTAACAAGTGAAATGTTTACATCTTTACCGTTGTACTCAAATGCCAAGGAAAAGAAAATGTTAAGCATCACTGCTTTAGTTACATTATTGTATAACGATAGACTAACTTGGTTGTAGTTTCATATTCAAATCTTTCTCAATTTCACGATTTATTTGCATTTTTATATGTAAACATGGGTTTAAATAATTTGAATAACATCTATTTATGATTTTATTTAGATTTAACACACTATATTGTATACACGATATAGTGTGTGTATACACTATACATTGCCCTTGGTGCTAAACAAATTTCCCCTTGTGGGACAACAAAGTACTGAATTGAATTCAAACTTGTGTTTTTTTTTCTAATCTGTAACCATAACATTATTCTATAAGGCAGAGATCATAGAAATTGATAAAATTAAGAACAAATTTGACAGCTCGGAACTTTTACCCCTTATGTCCTTATGTAAATTGGTCTTATTTATCCTTAGTGACAAAGGAAGATGAATGTCAAGATTTGAACAGGCTCATCTTTTACTATTTTGTTTTTAGGTGTGTCATTTATGTGCCTATTGCATCCCTTAAATGACATCGTTCAGGTTGTTTCCCTAAGACTAGCAGGATCTGGAACTACCTGTTTAAGCAACAGAAAGACACAGAGGATGTTTCTTAGACAGTACTACAAGGCAAGATCATCACAACCAGGGCATTTTACATTAGCAGTCAGGATAAACAGGCGCACAAAAGTGTTTAACCCAGGGTTAAATTGTTTGTCTTGTAGCTTTGTTAAGCTCTTTCACAGAACATCTCAAGCACATTATGGATAAACAGGGTTTTGAAACCTTCATCCATGCCATGGCTCCTCCTCCACCTTATCCTGGACTTTTTAAAAAAAAGTATTTTTTGAGACATTTTTTGAGACTTTGTAATTTGACCAACTAAATGTAATACAAAGTTTTGGCTTATCCAGATAACTTTGTAGTAAAAAAAACAACAACACATTTTTGCACATGTCGAGGAGCGTGTCAGGCTACCTTTCACTGTGTGTTATACTTGTATAACTATGCATGTGACAAATAAAGAACCTTGAACCTTGAATATTATATGTTACCAGCATTAGTGATATACCTCATTTGCCTAAATATATAGACAGACTGGTAAAACACAACTGATATGGTTTCTTCCTTGCAGCAAATAGAAGCAATATTGTCTAGTGAATAAACAAAGCTATCATCATGTTGGAGGAGCTATAAATCCTTTAAAATGACATATTGCAGGATCTGGTATTTATTCAGAATAATGGGTGAATGGAAGAGGAACAATAATTTTTTTCTCACAGAAGACAGTATGACAGTTTACATTTAAAAAGTACTATAAATTATGTCTTTGCCAATCCAAAGTTCTCGCATACGTCTTTCTGTGTTTCTGTTAAGCTGAAAGTGTTATTAGCTGCATAGCTGGTGCTACAGGTTTTCTTACGTCACATTACTAGGTGTGTCACTTTGGCCTTGTAAAGTAAAGCACTGTTGTAGAGCATGTTTTCTGTCGGGTAAATAATGTGTTAGCGTGTGTTCTTCATAAATATGAATCATTTTTAGTGTAGTTTTGTTTATTTTCATGCTTCAGCCTCTGAATATTTGGAAGGCCCAAGTGAGTATGATCTGTGGGTGTTGTGTATAAAGAAAATAATGTATAAGATAATGTTTTACACATTTTTATTTTGATCTTACCTACAGCATTTTTATTTTCCCCCAGGAGCAGTATTTTCTGAGAATGCAAAGGAACAAAGAGAAGAAATCAATGGAAAAGATGGGAGAGTCAAATCAGGTATGATTTTATGTCTTGGCTCAATTAAAAAAAAAAGTATATAGTTGTTGTGAAGCAGATGCATATGTAGTATATAGTTGAAATTCAAGGATGTGTGGAGATGATAATATTCCTTCAGACCTCAGTGAAATAACTGAGAGACGTATTTCTTTGTTTTGCATACTAAATTAAAATGACAAAAACTGTCTGTGTGTGTCTCTGTGCGTGTGATGGTTACACTGTTTTCTGGTTTAGTGTAAGAGGAAACTGAGGGTGTGTGTGGCAACATGCAACAGAGCAGATTATTCCAAGCTGGCCCCCATCATGTCTGGGATCAAATCCCACCCAGAAGACTTTGAACTGGAAGTTGTGGTGCTTGGTTCACATCTCATTGATGACTACGGGTAAGACGACCCAACTTTTTTCCTTTGCAAATGCCACTTTTTCTTTTCTTTTTCACTTGTGGACCTTCAGAAGATGCTCACAAAATAGCCAACAACATTTTGTTTGCTCGGTGACCTGTAAACCACCAGTGCATCCAAACCACATAACTGATTTACTAGGAGTAAAATTACATAGCAACTCATGCGGTTTGGTTGCTGAGGAAAAGATTACAGTTGTGGAGTGACGGCAAAAAAACATTGATATCAATAGTGAGTTTGAGATTTGAGAGATTTGTGATATTTATCCAGTTTTGGTGTCTAACGGATGGGATTCGAACATTTGTAAAGGAGTCAAACAACTGCACAGACAGTATAACAATGGTCTGCATGTTTTAAGCAAGACCGAGTATATAAGCCTAGAATATTCATAGAGACATGTCATATTTTCCATACTCACTCAATATTTGTGTGCAAAAGATAACTCCGATAACTTGGTCAGCATTTAAAATTTGAATCTCACATTGCCAAGTTCCAAAAATAAGCTTCCAGTCTTTTTTTCTTTCTTTCTTGCATCTCAAAAACATTGCAAAAATGAAACCTTTTGTTGCCATCCCATGATTTGGAACTTTCAGTATACATTGTGCTGTTTGCAACTTACCGAAATGTTTTGTTTTTGCAGGAACACTTTTCGGATGATTGAGCAGGACGACTTTGACATTGGCTCGAAGCTCCACACTATTGTGAGAGGAGAGGACGAGGCTGCCATGGTGGAAAGTGTTGGGCTGGCACTTGTAAAACTCCCTGATGTTATACAGAGACTGAAACCTGACATCCTGGTCGTACACGGTGATCGTTTCGATGCTCTCGCTTTGGCTACTGCTGCAGCATTAATGAATATTAGAATACTTCACCTGGAGGGAGGAGAGGTGAGGAAACCCAGTTGAACAGTTTCTCCTTCATTAGAGGCAATTACATTTCTTGAAAGCAGCACACAATGAAAAGAAAATGAAAATATGGGGGCAATATTGCATCATAAGTACTTAGATTTTTTTATGCATTCTGCCAGTGCAGAATCTTTTCTTCTTTTTGTTTTACCCCTCAGCTGTAAAAGGCTGATGGGCTGGGCGGGTGGACAGCTTGGACACCCAACTATGTCATAACAGTATCTCAAAAGTTGTCACCTAGAGTTTTCTAATTCATACAATAGGTGCATCTTCAAAAACATGCCAGAGGAGTTTGAATTTTGGTGACCTTGACCTTGAGATCAAGTTCAGAGGTCAGGTTTTCTGAAAATCTTGTGATAACAAAAGAAGGGAGTCACCTAGAATTTAAAACATAGGGGACACTAGCTACTGGAGGATGGGGGTGGTTACATCAGTATTATTATTATTTTTTAACTCTATCCTGTGCTGCTTGTTCCAGGTTAGTGGTACAATTGATGACTCAATCCGCCATGCTATCAGTAAACTGGCCCATTACCACGCCTGCTGCACACGGATGGCAGAGCAGCACCTCATAGCTATGTGTGAGGACCACTCTCGTATCCTCCTTGCTGGCTGCCCTTCATATGACAAGCTGCTATTGTCTCATCACAGAGAGGACTACATGGATATCATCAAAAGCTGGTTGGGTATGCAGAAATATATTCACAGGACAAAATTATTTAATGAGAAATAAGTCTACGTTTGTATTTTATGTGATATTTGCATCTTGCAGATGACAAAGTCCAGGAAGGTGACTATATTGTAGCATTGCAGCACCCGGTCACGACGAACATCCAGCACTCTATTAAAATCTATGGGCTGATGCTGGATGCGTTGATTTCCTTCAACAAGAAGACTCTCATCCTCTTTCCCAACATTGATGCCGGTTAGCTCCACCTGTGGTTACTGTTTTTAAAGTCCTCTTTTCAATAAGGTTTGGACACTCAAACAAAAGTTGAGAAAAATAACATAAGCATTTCTCCTATAAACAGGAAGTAAGGAGATGGTACGTGTTATGCGAAGAAAGGGGATTGAGCAACACCCAAACTTCCGAGCAGTGAAGCACATTCCTTTTGAGCAGTTCATCCAGCTTGTGTCACATGCTGGCTGCATGATTGGAAACAGCAGCTGCGGGGTACGAGAGGCTGGGGCCTTTGGCACACCTGTCATTAACCTGGGAACAAGACAAACAGGCAGAGAAACAGGTAGGTGTAACAAGAATGTCAATTGCCCTGAGCTTATCTCATACAAAGCTTCACAGGAGCTAAACAAAGGCGCAACGTTTTCTTCTTCTTCTTTTTTTTTTTTAAGTCATGCAATATCAAGAGGAAAAGGTGAAAAAAAGTTACAGCGGGAATGATTATCCCATCATGAACTTTCTCATACTATTCCCATAATATCCGCTATCAATCCCATCTCCAGGAGACAAACACCCAGCACTATTAGTAGACAGTCAGGTCATCATAGTCCAAAAGACGTTTTATTTATTTTTTTAGTATATGTTAATGATTGAGTAATATAATGTCAGTATGTGTGGTATAGCTGGAAAGAATCATTTACTGGGACATGAATTAATTGTCCTTGAACATTTAAAGGATTGAGGCTGCTGGAAGACAAAATAGTACAAAAACATCAAGGTTATTTTCCTCAACCTACCAAGCTGTATTGTTCTGCTAAATCTGTCTCAGGTTGTTTTTCTTATTAACTTGAGGACATTTTTTTTTCTCCCAGGTGAAAATGTTTTACATGTCAGAGATGCCGACACTCACAATAAAATCTACCATGCTCTGGAGCTGCAGTTTGGAAAGAGATACCCCTGGTATGGCCAGTGTGCAATCTTCATTTGTCCCCTGGGTGTTTGATCAAATTTTTAACTGTGTATTTTCATTTGCCAAGCCTTCTTTCAATGAAGGAACTGCTGTATATTTTCAGTAACTTTACTTACAGTGCCAGTTAAAGTCCTGTTGAACAGGATTTCAAAAATATGTTGGAAATTAGTCTGTCATTATCAGTTTGTCACATTCAAGTTGTGTGACCTGTTTTTCCTCTGCCAGCCAGTACTTACTTTTTGCATATCTATCAAATGAGTCAGTTGATGAATTGTCTTTGTTAAAGCCCTTTAAGATATTAGAAGTAGCAGGAAATGGCAGGATGTATATGATTATTGTGTGCAGTCTTAGAAAGAAGAAAACTGTGTTACTTTACCAAACTGTTCGTCTATAAGGCAGATTTTATCCAAATTATTTAAAAAAAAAAAGGGGTTATGGCAGAGTCACTGTCTGTGACATAATTAAAAAAAAAGGTTTGAGAATCAGGAGAAGGTAATAATGTAACAATGGGTTACACTGAACTGTATTTGGAGTCAAAACAAAATTTTAAAAAATGTTTATATAAGCAAATATGTTTGTTTGTTTGTTTGTTTGTTTAAATTAGTTCTAAGATTTATGGTGATGGCAACGCAGTGCCTCGTATTCTCAAGTTTCTCCGTTCTATTGACCTGGACGAGCCTCTCCAAAAGACCTTCTGCTTCCCTCCTGTGAAAGATCCGATTTCTCAGGACATTGATCATATCCTAGAGACACAAAGTGCTTTGGCCGTCGACCTGGGAGGGACCAACCTCAGAGTGGCCATTGTCTGCATGAGGGTAGGCTGGATGAACACTAAACTTTAAATGTTTTTTTAAATGTTTCTTCATTTTCACTTTCAAAAGCTTTTGTCTGTTCTGCTGTTTTGTTTTTTAAACTTTTCCAGGGCACCATAGTGAAGAAATACAGCCAGCCCAATCCAAAGACTTTCGAGGCCAGAATGGAGCTCATATTAAAGATGTGCAATGATGCCATGCGGGATGCTGTGGGCCTTAACTGTAGAATACTTGGTGTCGGTATGAAAACACACTAATACTAAAACACATTTACACATAGGAAAAAAACCCAGCACAACAATTTCAGATTTATTTCTGCTCTTTAGGAGTGTCCACTGGTGGGCGTGTAAACCCCCAAGATGGTGTGGTCCTTCACTCCACAAAGCTGATTCAGGAGTGGTCTTCTGTGGACCTAAGAACGCCCATATCAGATGCTTTACACCTACCCGTCTGGGTTGACAATGATGGCAACTGTGCTGCACTGGCAGAGAGGAAGTTTGGTCACGGCAAAGGAGTGGAGAACTTTGTCACAGTCATCACAGGAACAGGTGAGAAGTTTTTGTTTTTTAAAGTTTTTCAGATGAGGATCTTCATCTATTTGCTTGATAACTAGTGGTGCAGCGGATCACGGTTGATCCGTAATCCGAACCGATCCCACTCCACGGTTCGGCACGCACGTGATCCGAAGATTCGAAAAAGAAGAAAAAAAAAAGTATATGTATGGTGTGCGTGGTGGGTCTGTCAAGCACTAGTTATGGCCAGCGTTAGCAGTCCAAGTGGAGGAGCAGAGGAGTTTGCGGTATTTAAGCAGCCCTTTGCTGCCCAGTCCGACCGGGCTAAAGCTATTACAAAAGCTATTGGGGTGTTTAGCTGCAGACGGGAGGCCGTATTCCGTTGTGCAAAACAAGGGGTTTAAACTATGATGAACGTGCTTGAGCCACGCTATGATATCCCGTTCGCGTCCACTTTAGTGGCAAGATCGTTCCAAGCATGTATGAGCAGGAAAAGATTTAAGTTATGGCTGAACTGTCCCAGGCATCTTCTGTTGCCCTAACTACTACAAATGGGTGGACCTCCAGGGCAACGGAAAGCAACGTGACAGCTCATTATATCACAGCGGAGTGCGATATAATGAGTGGTGTGTATTATTGTAGGGTCTACCTTACAATATAAAGCGCCTTGAGCCGACTGTTGCTGTGATGTGGCGCTTTATAAATAAAATTGAATTGAATTGAGTGGTAGATACAAAGCCCTATGCTGCCCTATATTGTACCATTTTTTTTTTTTTAATAATTGCGTGGAATGAGTCTTGAGGTGAATGTTTTTAACAGGCAAAAAAATACTTCAATAATTAAATGTTAAATTTTTGTCTATTTTCTTTTTTTGCTGATCCGAAAATTGATCCGATCCGTGACTTAAAACCGTGACCCGATCCGAACCGTGAGATTTTTGATCCGTTGCACCACTAATGATAACTGTGAGACCTGTATGAATTCAAACAAACTACGATGATGATTTTTACAGCTGAAATAATATTTACTGCCTTATTCTTTTTGTAAATTACATCGTCTGGTTATTTAAGTCTCAGGAAGTAAAAAATATTTTGACTCTGTGTGCAGGTATTGGAGGAGGAATTATCCATCACAATGAGTTGGTCCATGGTAGTACCTTCTGTGCTGCTGAGCTGGGTCACATCATGGTTTCCCTGGAAGGCCCAGAGTGTATGTGTGGCAGCCGTGGCTGTATAGAGGCCTATGCATCTGGGATGGCCCTTCAAAGAGAGGCCAAAAAACTGCATGATGGTGAGAGATTTGTTTTGTTTTTGTTTTTTGTTTTTTTTGTTTTTGAATAGTGGATATTGGCTAAGCGCTTACCAACACTTGGCTTTAGAAACCTTTGAAAATGTAAAAATTGAAATCTCTCCACAAAAACATAAACACAAAATAAATCTTTATCCAGCAGCTAATCTTTTACAAGTTTTCTAACGATACCAGAGCAACAGAAAGTGCAACTAAATTTTACACCATCAACTTTTTTTTTTTTAATAGAGCATTGGCAGGATCGCCTCTAACGAAATGAAAATACTTTGTCAGTGTCGTCAGGAGCAGGGTTCATATCCATGTTGCTTGTATGCTGCTGTCATGATGACAGACTATCCAAGAGTAGGGATGGGTATCGTTTAGGTTTTATCCGATACCGGTGCCAAATCGGTACTTTTGAAACGGTGCCGGTGCTCAAACGGTGCTCAAACCGGTGCTTAAAGAATGGAGAACAGAAAATTGGTCCAAAAACCTCTCATGTTTAGCTGGTTTTTTGTAAAAAGATAACAATGTCAGCCTTTTCTGCAGCTATGGGGCATATATGGTATCACTCTTGGCTGGAAGCAGTGCTTAAACAATGGAAAAAACACAAACTTTGTCCAAAAACCTCTCATGTTTAACTATTTTCCACTTTTTCTTTGGTCATTTTAGCCTTTTTGGCCAGGGTGAAGGGAGTATCTGCCATCAAACAAGAAGACAGCCGCATGTAGCTATGATGATGTTTGCTAGTTCACCTTACATGCATTAATGTAATAACGTGGTTAGCCTACTCAAAGCCTACTATCCTCGCAAAGGTAAAATGATTGGCTAGAAGTGTATCACAGCTCAGGAAAAAAAAGCACCGAAATAAAGCACCGAAATGTGCGCTGCTTTTCTGTCTGGTTACTACCGTTTATGTCAGAACCCACCGGTACCCATCCCTACCCAAGAGTGTGAATGTATTGACACTAAGTGGTAGCAGCAGCAATCAGTATTATAGTGCAATAGTACTGAAACAGCATAAGTTCAATGTAAGCACAGAAGTAGCCTAAGTAGTGTTTACCCAGGAAATTTTAAGCAGATGCTAACACATGGCTCCTCCTTTGAGTGATAGAGATTTAACCTGCATTGATAGATGGAGTGGTCAACCTTTTATCCCCAATCATGTTTCTGACCTGTTGCCAGTTAATATTAGTATAATTAGTTCCCAACTTTTGAGATGTGTTGCTGGCATCAAATTCAAAATGAGCAAATATTTTTCATTAAATAGTAAAGTGACTCTGTTAAAATGTTTGATACGATTTTATATTTTCTGTTTTGAGTAAAATGTGGGTTTATGGGTTTGGGAAAGTGTTGTATTCTGTTTTTATTTACATTTTACACAGAAGGCCGGGGTGGGTTTTTTTGTTTGTTTGTTTGTTTTTAAATTGGGGCATGTATTTTCTTGATGGGGTAGAGAAAATTGTACCTCAACTCTTATGGTTTTATGTTGTATTCTATAATCTTTTTAAACAAATATATATTTATTGAGTTTTTGTTTAGCAACTCAGTCATCCATCACATGATAATCTGGTAAACAGTGAGATTGGTATTATTTAGATAAAACTGTATCCTGCAATGCTAGTTCCTGTTTCTTAAGCTGTAAAGTCAGTTTAAATCCAGCACAGGAATGCACGACGTCAGGAAGTAATTAAGCATAACACTTCTTGTTGTATGTCTCAAGTGGCTTCATTCCATTTATCATTATCCATGTGTTTTTTTTTGTTTGTGTGTTTGTTTTTTACAGAGGATCTGTTGAAGGTGGAGGGGATGGATATGAAACTCTCAGAGCCAATCACTGCTGCACATCTTATCAGTGCAGCCAAAATGGGAAACTCCAAAGCCGACGCTGTTCTGACCAAGGGTTAGTTCACAAAGGACACAGAGAAAATAGTAGAGAATAGTAGGTTCACCTAGCTTGAAAATGGGGTTGGCAATATTTCTACCTCAGCAGTGGTCTAAATTAGAGATGGCACGATACCACTTTTTTATGTCTGATACCGATATCATAAATTTGGATATCTGCCGATACCGATATGAATCCGATATAGTGTTTTTTAATCAATAAAACTCTTTTTTTTAAATATCTTGCTGCATTTTGTATAAGTTCATACTCAAGTTTAAATAAACAACAACACTAAAGCTATTCTGTTATACCTGTATGTAAAAAAATACACTGCACCCAAAATATTTCATAGTTCAGTAATACTGATCAATCTAATAAACTTAATCCTTCCTATTCTGGTATTTTAAAGAGTACTTAGCAGAAATATTAAGCAACCTAACTAACAGGGTTGCAAACTCCCAGCAAAAATTTATTTTTAATTTGATGCAGGTTGGAAAAAAATGCACAGAAATAAATTATTTTTCAAGAATAATTAAATAGATTCAACATCTTCCTTCAACAGAATTGCAGACTGCACAGATGGTATCTTCCCAAAGGAAAAAGCACTATAGCTTACTAGGGTATATTAGACTTAACAGTTACTATATACAGTAATGGACATCTTACATCAGATTAAAACTTTTGGGTGTAAGATTCAGATAATTATTTATTAAAAGCTAGTCATTTTAAATGAGAATAAGAAAGAAAAGTATGTCTTTGTGCCCCCTTTTCCCTGTGAATGCCATATAGAGATTGACAGACCACGTGACTTTCGCGCATTGCATGCCGGGAACTCGTGGCAAAACAATCCAAGTACCGCATCAAATGCAAGCATTTGCAGCACCGCAAAACGTTAATTTTCCAGTTCCAATAAATTCTTGCTTTTTCTTTGCCCCCCAAAAAAGGAATGTACAAAACGAAGGAGAACAATGTCGGTCCGTACAAAGACGGACTTGATGAAAAGTCAAAGAAAAGATACGAGGAAAAAAATCAAAGGAGTGAAAGGGTCAGACCCGTACGAGCACACAGAGTGGACAAAAGACGTTAGCATGCTGCCCAACTTTCACCACACTCAGATTTATAATTATACGCTTCTTGGAGTGAGTGCATACGCTCATGAAGTTTTTAGTAACTTCCGGTCACTGCAACAAGCCCAGGTACAGTTTACCGACGGATGGGTGCAGGACCTTGAAATGCACTGTGTAGAACGAAAGACCATCGTACCTATCATAAGTTTACCAGTCTCACAAATCGTCGTCATAAATACACATTCGTTAACCGTTTATTAATAGGACCTTTGAGCTCAACGGTAATTAATTAGTAGTGGAAATAATTTCTGGTAGCATCACAGAAATGTAGCAGTGACAATAATATTGTATGCTGTAATCGCACTGGGCAACTGGTGATACAAAAAAACTGTTTTATCCTGTGAATAAAAGTATATGTTTTTGTCAATGTACCATAATAACAGAAGCGAAACGCAATATTGTGTCAGGACAATTCACTATTTATGCACAATAAATAAAGGAGCATAGTGCAACAATTTCTGTTCAGCGCCAGACTTGCTTGTAACCTATATCACCAATTATGTTAAGAAAAATGACGCATTAACTACAACAGCAGACTGACCTTCGTGTAAATGCTTGGAGCAGACTAACCTGTGAGCTGGAGTGTTCTGGGACGTTATATTTTGTCTTTGAATGGCTGCAATCCAGGCCATCCGTCGCGTCTTTGTTACTTCAGGAAACATGGCTTGAACAATTTCTCTTCAACGACGTAATCCGATAACAACCGATCTCTTTACCCGTCGGCTTCCCGTGGCTGTCATGCGACCGGCTATTGCAGTTAATAATACAACAGCTTCTTGACATTTTTGTGTTTCATTTTATCGCTGTATAACTGATTTCAATTGAAAGCCTGCGTGCGCTAGTACCTCTTGCCACGAGTTCCCAGAATTCTTTGCGGTTCTACCCGTGAATGACGTCACATTTTCAATCTCTATAGGCCCCCCTGGCTAAACTTTGCTAGATCCGCCCCTGCACAGTTACCAGCCGTCAGCTACGTAGAAAAAGATCCTGGTCTAGAAAGTAATATTAAATAAATTCTAACAGCAGCTTATCAAGCTTAAACGTGCTGCTGTTGTTCAGCCACTGGTTTCCTCTACAAATACACACAGCCGCTCTATCATGTGAGCACACTGCTCCAACGTGCTACGGTTATGGGCCGAGTTACGCCATGTCGCAAGTTTTGTGAGGTGTTTTTTTTGAGTAGGAGTTCTTCTGTGGGGTTAACACAGCCGTGTGTTACCGTTTATAACACACCCCTTTTGTTATATGAAAGAAATCTCAAAACCTGGCATACACGTGGAAACGGATGGAAATAGGCAGCCTGTTATTTAGATTATGTGGTAATGTTTTAAAAGATATATTTAAAAAAAGATAAAATATAACTTCCTTATGTGTTCTTACCCTTTTTAGCCGCCACTGCACTGGGTGTGGGCATCATCAACATCCTCCACATAGTCAACCCTTCACAGGTGATTCTGTCTGGAGTCTTGGCCTCTTACTACCAGGCGCCAGTGCAGCATGTCATCTCGCAGAGAGCGCTCTTCTCTGTCCAAAACATCAAGGTTGTAACATCAGACTTGGAAGAACCAGCTTTACTTGGAGCAGCCAGCATGGTGTTAGACTATGCAACCAGAAGAATATATTAAAGAACAAAATCATTAAAACCTGCAAGGCAGTTTTGTCCCTGTGGTCTAACAAACATACAAGTACAGTTATTATTTTCCAAAGTTGAAGTCTGTTAGTCGGATTAAAATCCGGAAACACATGTGAAGTGGGAGTGGATCTAGTGCATGGGCCAGAAATCCTAATTCTCTTTTGTACAGTGCCTATAGTATCGAGGTTGAATTAATCTCCAAAACTTATCTGTACAAGCTAGAACCTTCCTTCTGTGCTTGTGGTGTGGATGGATGGAATAGTCTATTTATAGAAACCTTGTGACCAAATTATAGCTGAATCTTGCTTCTGTTGCTTTCTTTCTATTGTAACTTTAGTTTTCTATCAATTTTGTGCAGATGTTGCATTTCCAATTGTATGGAACATACACAATTTACATTTTTAGTTTTTTGTGTGTGTTGTTGTTGTTGTTGTTCTTCTTCTTCTTTTTTATGAATGAAATAATCTAAAATGGTATTAAGTAACTTTAAATATACACCAATCTGTCACAACATTAAAACTACAACTCACTTACATGAAGAATACCCAACAATGTGGTAGTAGTCCCCAACAGCAGCACCAGCCTTGCCTTACTATAAAGATTCAACCCACAAGACCTTTGCCCCATTTAGAGGACAAGTGGGACATGCAGAGTACTAGGCAGGTGGTTTTAATGTTGTCGGTGTTTGGTGTATAATAAACATGATTAAAACTGCTTTGGATCTATGGATGCTATAGTATGATAAGAGGTTGGGGGGGTTGTTTGTTTGTTTGTTTTGTTTAAGTTTTTCCCAGGCTTGTTATGAAGATGTTATTCTTCTGAAGATGTACAACATGGTTTTTATGTACACCTTTATACTGCATTGCACAATACATGCTATTTGTAAGTTTTAAATACATTTCTGTGGATGTTTGTTTAATATTCATCGAGAAAATAAGTTTTAGACAATTGTAAGAAAAAGACTGAAGTTAATTAAGTATTTATTATTCAACTTTTTAGTTAGTGTCCAAAGAAAAATTGAAACTGCATAGCAGTTCAAACATTTTTTCTTTGCATCTTTGAACTGTTACAGTGAGTATACATCTAAGGTGTCATTTGACCAGATTAAAATATTTACTGTTTAGAAGGCAAAACACCTATTTAATCAATTTTTTCTTTCTTTTTTTAAATTAGTTTTCAAATTTTGATGTCTTCAGTTTTGTTTTAAAACTTATCAATGTTTAATTTATGTATTAAACATGCATTGAGGTCTTTATGAGGTTTTCACCTGAAATGCTTTTCCAGTGGACCTGAAGGAATTCCTACAAATGTTGAGCACTCGATAGTGGCTCCTCTCCTATCTGTTGACCAGATCAGTTTTAATATTAACGAACAAACACTGAACACTTTACGCCGATTCATCTGCTTGTTAACGCAAATCTCTAATCACGTCACAAAGCTCAGAACTTCTTAAACTTGCTTCATGAACACGCCAGTGTAGTCAAAAAAAACCCTCCAAAGTCACCAGATCTCAATCCAACGCAGCACCTTTGGGATGTGGTGGAAGGGGAAGACTGGCTTCATGGATGTCTAGCTGACAAATCTGCAGCAACTGTGTGTGGCTATCAACATGGGCCAAGATGTTTATTTTATCTTGTTGAATCTGTGCTAGCAACAGTTAAGCCAGTTTTGAATCTAAAAGGCTGTTGATATTTGTGTAATAAAGAACTTTTAATTACCACCGTTTGCAAGTTTCACTGCCGAGAATATGAGGCTGTTTTTTTACACCTTTGTTCTTTTTGCTCATTGATGAAATCAATAACTGAAAAAGCAAGAATTAATAAGTCAAAAAAAAGCCAATGGTGATAACTTCTAACAAGTTAGGTCTACGTCCAATGACAAATATAAAGATGAATTGCACTAAAAATGTATGCAAAATTCTGCCAGGCAGTTGTTGAAAGAAAGTGCATCTTGTAGTAGAGTGTAAGTCTATGAAAAAAAATCAAGCTATCAATTTTCATCTCATTTATGATCCCTTTCAAAGCCACCAGACCTCAAAAATAAGTCTTCCTACCCTGACCCCCTACTGGCCGCAGTGAAAGGCTACTGCCACCAGATTTTTAACTGTTAGATGGTGATTTCTAACTGTTAAAAGGGAGTTTTTTTCTTTCCACTGTTGCTAGTACTTGTTGTTGGGGTGGAATCCCCAAGAAAGATCTGCCGACTTCAAAGGACAGAAGAAATGTGTCTTATCAGACATTGGTGATCCAAGCACACTGACATAAAGGCTCTTAAAGGCTCTTAGCATGCCTTGTGTTGTGTGGGTGTTTTCGGTGTATTCTGACTCTGTTGAATTCAGCTGCCAGACATTTTTCAGTGTCCACCTGTCCCCAATCAGCTGCCCAACAATATAAATGCTGGCTAGGAGCTACTTGGTTAGTTAGTGTGTGAACTGGCCTTGAAAGTGGAGAGGTGTTCAGGTGTCCTTTGTGCATCTGTCCTTGAGACTAGTGTTAGCTGGGTGTCAGTTTGGGTTTGCTGAGGTATTTTTCGTTGCTGCTATAGTAGTGTAGGCTTCTCTTTGTGTTGGGTCTTTATTTATATATATATTATATATATTATATATAATATAATATAATAATATATATATATATATATAAATATATAAATATATATATATATATATATATATATATATATATAACTCTTTTGTTATATCAATACTACCCTGTTTTTGCTATGTTTTAATTGGTTGTAATATTGCTCACCCTCCCCCCCCCCCCCCCCCTTCCCCCCTTTCCTGGCCCTTGACGGGGATAGACCAAAAGCCATTTTGGTTTCTTCTGGTTTGACTCACATTCTGAGAAAAGGGGCAATGATCAGTGAGAAGCTGTAAAGCATCATGCCAAGAAAGACCACTGCAAATTTAATTTTTGTTTTGAAAGTGTTAAAGAAGGCACATACAGAAGGTTCAATGTATTTTTTGTGGATCTAACGGTAAATGGATTGTCTCTCATACAGTCCTTTTCTACTCCAGTGATGCACTCAAAGTGCTGTATAGAACATGCTTCATTCACCCATTCACACAAGTGCTTTTTTTTCTATGCCCAAGTGCTTCCTAACATTTGTACACAATCAAACACTACTGAATCAAAGCATTGCAGAGCAAATTGGGGTTCAGTATCTTTCCCAAGGATACTTTGGCATGCAGGCTGGAGCAGCTGGGAACCACCAAATAGTGGATGGCCACCCTGTGTTCTTTAGAACACAAATGATAGGGTGCCAAAAGAGGAGTTGTGGTACTACATAAGGAAGTCAAGAGTGACAGAGAAGTATGTGAGGCTGGTGCAGGACATGTTTGTGGACAGAGAGACACTGGAGGGGTGTGTGGTAGGGGTGACAGATGGGGTCATTTCTGAGCCCCTTCTTGTTTGCAATTGTGATATACAGGTTGACAGATAAGGTCAAACGATGATGGCTTCAGCATATTGGACAGAGGAGGCATGAGTCTTAGTGGACTATGTTTCTAGACAACATTGTAATCTTAAGGGAGCAAGTGGAAGAGAGCCTGGAAAGAAGTGGAATGAAAAACAATTACATTTGCACAAATAAAAGGGGGATCTAAAGGTGTATGAGTTCAAATACCTTGGGTCAACCATCCAAAGCAATGGACAATGGGCAAGAGAGGTGAAGAAGAGAGTACAGCCAGGGTGACGTGGATGGGCACAAGTGTCAGGGGAGCAGTAGTGAAAGAGAAGGTTCAAGGTTCTTTATTATTTGTCACATGCATAGTTATACAAGTATAACACACAGTGAAATGTAGCCTGACACGCTCCTCGACATGTGCAAAAAATTGGGGGGGGGGGGGGGGGGTAGAGGAAGAACATTTTATATATATATATATATATATATATATATATAGTATATACACTGGGTGAATGTGCAGTAGTAGCAAGAGAAGTAGTAGAGAAAGTCTAAATAGTAGTCAGACCTGCTTTGATGTACTGTTTGGTGAAGGTGGCATTAGCAAAAAGACAGGGGTGGAGCCTGTAGAATTCCAGTGGCTAAGATTTTCATCATGAGTGACTAGGATGGACAAGATTTACAAAGAGTACATCAAAAGGGCAGCTCAGGTTGAGGAGTTGGAAGACGAGGCTGAGTCTGGGTTGGACGTATGGAGGGATAGTGGATACGCTGAGCAAAAGATGTTAAATATAGAGCTGCCAGTCATGAGAAAAAAGGAAGACCTCAGAGGAGGTGCATGGATGTAGCGAACAAAGACATGCAAGGGGTTGGTGTGACAGAAGAAGATGAAAGAGATGAGCTGCTGTGGCAACCCCTAAATGGAGAAGCTAGATGATCTGCTGCACTACAGGTCATGTGGTTCACGACTCTGTTGCCTTCTTTCTGGAACCAAGCAGCACGGTTTCTCCCACTAAACACAAACTGGATTAGATTGCCTTGTAGTAAATAAATTGCCCATTGTTTTACTATTCAATTCCATCATCGCATTCATGCTTTGTAGTTGTAGCAGTTAATTTTTGTGAATGTGCTTGAAGAGGCTTCCTGTCTAAAATAATGATGGACTTTTTAAAAAAATCTTCACTTAGTTTAGCAAATACTTCCATAATGTAGATTGCAACAGTAGTTAAATAGGGGTGTTTGGGGCATACCAGCTTGTAGTCACAAACATAACTGACTGTCTTAAATGTATTGTTTAAGAGATTGCGACTATTGTGCAAAGCTATCACCTGTGAAACTGTGAGTTTAGCTCAGGGGTAGGCAACTCTAGGCCTCGAGTGCCGGTGTCCTGCAGGTTTTAGATCTCACCCTGGGTTAACACACCTGAATCAAATGATTAGTTCATTTCCAGGCCTCTGGAGAACTTAAAGAAAGGAGGAGTCATTTAGCCCTTTAAATCAGCTGTGATGGATCATGGACACATCTAAAACCTCCAGGACACCGGCACTCGAGGCCTGGAGTTGCCTAGCTGATACAGTAAATTGCAGCATAATATTAATTTAGGTAAAAGCATTGTAAAGGGCGATTTTTCATGGAGAAGTCATGGCGATGATAATATAGTCTTTTGTCAGTAAAATAATTCATATTTCAGTAGTGTGCAGTTCACTCAGCATATGTATTAGTAATTCAAATCAGTTGTGGTGGAGTTTTTGAACTTCTTTGAATGTTATCTTTCAATTACTATAAAAATAAACAAACTAGTAGTTTAGGTCTTCCCTTAGTAACTCCGATAGTATTCCTGTTTTAAAACAGCAGTTGCACCCAGCTATATAACCTGAGTCAGGTGAACGCTTGCCACCTGAGCCCTTTGATACTGTCAGAACTGTAAATAATTAACCAGCGCGGAATTATACTGGGGCGGGACACAACTGCTGCCAGGGTTATGAAGAGGAAGCTGGAAAACTTTTTGACAGAAGACGACAGAAGTCTTAGTCCTAAGACTAAAATAACTGGAATAACGGTCTGTGATCGAATAAGACAGTTCAAGACAATTTTCCAATATAAGGGTTAAGCAATATCAGGGAGTTAAATCAATAACAGGCCTTGTAAAGTTAGAGGGTAAACGAAAAACCTGAGGAAATAAAACAGAAAAAAATGCTGAATTTTAATTTTATTTTTCTTATCTGACGAATTCCCAATCATGGCTATGCAAACAGTTGTGTGTTAAACGTGCAGCAGATTTAAAAAAAAAAAATACTGCAGATTTTTCTCTATTTCTGACAGCAGCACCCAGCAGGTCATGGGATCCGCATGAAACGCTTTCAAATATTTGATTGGTCCCGTTATGAGAAAGTTGTTACATGATTGGCCATGACTACTGCCAGTAATCCATTCTTGCTTGTGATTGGTTACTCTGCTGTTTCCGCTACGCCAGCTTTTACCGTTTTCCCCTTTCGTCCTTCTTCCTGCTGGTCTAATCGGTTTCAGTGGTGCTACACCTGCTCGTTGTTTCACACTTTTATCCCTCTATCACTACAGACAACATGGACGATTTTGACATGCTGAACGCGCCCAGTGCTGGAAACGGTGTCGGCTCGGAGGAGGACCCCGCTGCCGCTTTCCTGGCCCAGCAGGAAAGCGAAATTGCGGGCATTGAAAACGACGAAGGCTTCAGCATCTTGGACAGTGGAGATGTCCCCTCTTCGCTAGGAGACACTAACGGTGCGTGGCTGTTATCCTCAAGCGAAGAAAATGTCGCTGTATGTTATCTGTTTGGCGTCATTAGTGATAGAGGATTTTGTGTACGTGTAACTAAACGTTCAACATGCGGTGAATCTAGACGCTATTTTGGCCCTGAATGGACACTAAAGCTAAGGCTAACTGAGCTAGCAGATTAGCCAAGTGGACATGGTTAGCGTTGATATTAACCTGTGTAAGATTACTTTGAACTCACAAGGAACACGTACAGGTGAAACTTGAAGTCCTTTATTAATACATGCTATTTTATGCTGAAATAAGCTACTGCTGCTGGCACTGCCACTCATTGCTTTCCAATTAACTTGATTGCTTGCGGCTACATTTACAGCAGTTTGTGTCAGCCACTTAGGAAATGGGCACAGCTTAACAACCTTTGTTCATGACTTACTCATTTCCTCCAATCTAGCCTCAGTTGTAGGAATTGTTCGTCAGAAATGCTGACATCCATTATTACGAAACAGGAATGCATTTAGCAACAGTAATTGGTGCTCCGTTAGACAAGTTCAAGGCATGGTAAAAATCTCTTTTAGGACATTTAATATTTCAAGATGTTTTGTCATGTTTATGCCTTTATTTGTCTGCTTGATTTCTAACTGTAGTCTCACCTCTACCTGTTTTAGATGGTGCCATCAATGGAGAGCTTCATGGGGTAATGTCATCTGCTCTTTAGTTATCATGTTGGAAATCACCTTGTATTTGTTCCTGTGTTTTGTGTGTATAAGTGCACAAAGGATTAAAATCTTTTAATACAAAAATTATTGTTTGTGTATGCACTAATGTATAGTGTTAAAGGAAGAATAAATAGAGGGATGAAAAGGATGGTCTGTACTAAATGCCTGCACCATAAAGAAGGATTTGGATCTACAAAACAAAAAGATACTCTCAGTGTGTTGAAGTTGCTTCATAGTACAGGGCCCACAGATGCATTGATATACAACAATGAGTGGGGCCTTTTCTGGTACAGACCTATTTGAAATTGGTCAGACTGCAGACTTTCTGCACCATGGCTGCTCATGGATGACCTGCAACCAGTTCAGTGACTCAAAGTAGTGCCTGATGGCAGGCAATTGGCCTTCAGTAAAGATCAAAGGGGGTGATTTTATTTAAAAAAACAAAAAAAAACATTTCACTCTGTACAGCTTACTAGCATCAGTTTAAAAACATGACATTGAAGATTCTCATGTTTGGATTTAAACTTCTTTGCTTCTTGACACATTTCATTTTAGTTATGTTCCTTGATTTCCTGGATAATTGCTGTTTGTTATATAAATATAACAAACAGCAATTATCCTTGAAATTCATTTACTTGAATACTAAGATTTGCTCAAGAGATGTTTATATATCAATTCTGCTGAATTTTCACTGTGCGTCATTGTGGAAAATACTAATTTCCTTTTAACACCGTAACAGTGATTTTTAGTAGCCGAGCTTTTGAATATTTGTCTGTTAGTCACTTCAGCTTCCTTTTCCTTTGCTGTCATTGCAACATTTCTTCCTTTCCTGTCAGTGAGAGAATCTTCTAAGAGTACATGTACGCTATGCGTATTGGGGTGTGGGGGTGGGGAAACCAATTCCACTTTAATGACAACTTTCACATACGGGTTAGAAAAATGAAACGCTGAACATGAAATAGCCAAATCATTGGAAATATTGATAAAACTGTAAACTGTGCTTACCATTTTGCTCCTTTCTCAGGAAAGCAATGGTCCATCAGATGCCTATGCAGCAATTTCTAATGCAGACCGACTGCAGGCTGAACCAGAAAGTCTACGTAAGTGGAGGGAGGAGCAAAGAGAGAGGCTGGAGGAGCTAGGTAAGCACCCAGAAGAACGCTTTATTATAGGGTAGGACAGAACACTGATCTGTGAGATGTGATAAGTAAAGGTGGAGATTTGGGCTGTGCTATATCACATTGTCAACGATAATATTGGTAACAATTTTTACATGATATAAATTATCATGTTGCAATACCGTTGCTATAGCAATGCAAGGGGTTTACTTTGTGAGTGACAGTGTGTGAACCCCAGGCATCTCTGATCGCTAAGCATTAGATCCTTATGACATTTAGTACCTTTTTAATCGCTTTTGAACTAGCCACTTTTGTAACATCAACTTGTCTGGTTGTGTCACTGTATGCAAGTATCATCAGAAATATTATCACAGATTTTTTATTGAAATATTGTTGTATACTAAATAAAAAATAAATAAATAAAAAATAAATAAAAATTTTTTCTGTCTAAATGACCTTCCTTTACTGGATATTCCACATACAGTGTTAACCAATTATTTCTGTCCCTGTTTCCTTTCACATCATTATGTTCATCATCTTTTTGGGGATGTTTATTCTTTTATCAGTCTCTGCTCTTGAGCGTGATTTCTGTATTTTTGCATTTCCTTCTGCAGATGCGAACTCTCGCCAGCAGGAGACGGAATGGAAGGAGAAGGCCAAGGTGGAGCTGGAGGAATGGCATGCCAGGCAGAATGAGCAGCTGGAGAAAACCAAAACCAATAACAGGTACTGTAGTCCTGGACGCATAGAAACAGGATGGAAGATCAATAAAAATGAAAGAAGACTGTGGGGATATGTGAGTTATCCCGGCTTAAAAAGAATGTAGATCTGTCAGTTGTGGCAGGGGAAGAAATGATGGCCATCCGGTCACTCAACTTCTGTATCCTTGAGTAAGTTTACAACTAATTACTGAAATTTGTATCCATATGTTGTTTTTTCAGGAAGAATCGGAATAACCTATCCTTGAATTTCAAGAAACGCAGTATGCTGGTCTCCCCATTTGTGTGTGGCATCAGTTTTTGTTTCAGTTGTCTACAGATTCATATTTTAAAGAAAATCCATTCTCTCTAAGGGGAAATCTCATGTGGCTTTTCACCACCTTTTTAGTTAAAATGCTATTTGACCTCCACTTATTCTTCACACTAAAAGGCGCACTTAAAATCCTTTAATTTTCTCAAAAATCGACAGTGCGCCTTATAATCTGGGGCGATTTATGTATGAAAATGGACCCATTCATCGACAGTACACCTTATGGTCCAAAAAATACAGTGGAACCCCGGCTTACAAAGACCCCATTTATGAAGGCACTTAACTGCAATATTTCTGCCCGTGGTACAGCAAAATGCCCGCGTAACGAAATCCGCTGGCTGAGCCCAGAATGCTCACAATGCCTTCCAAATCATGTGAAACTCCTTGGCTTTCGTACTTGCGTTTCGCTGTTCCACGTGAAAGACGTATTGTTGTTGCAGTGCGCTATTTCGTGTGCTTTTCGTTTGCAATTAGCCTATCGTTCATTCATAATGTGGCCGAAAAAACTTTCTGCAAGTGAAAAGAAGAAGCGTAAAGTGCTCTCGATGGAAACAAAGAAATTATTGATAAATATGAGCGAGGTCCTCCTCCACCAAGAACTTCGTCTTCAGCCAGCATCGCCTCACTCAAAAGGCGATGGAAAAAGGTGCTTCGACTTACGAAAATGTTGACTTACGAAAGACCCTCTGGAATGAATTTATTTCGTAAGTCGGGTTTCCACTTTATTAAGTTTCCCAGACACTGGAGTTATTGTTCACTGCATGTCTTCAGTCATTAAAATTACCTATACCTAAGACAAGTCTATGCAATTTGCTGTTATTTCAGGAAATTTAATAACTAATGTGTGATATTTTAAGGAAAACAAATGGAGTCAAATATTTCCTGTGAGGTAAAAACACTCTTTACTGTGTCTTTTATTATCACAGGAGGGTTCTGTATAGAGATGCACCGATTGCAATTTTCTTGGTCAGTTTAGATGTTTTTCTGATCTGCCGTTACTGATTTTTGCAGGCTTTTAACTGACAACAGTTACAAACAAAACTCCACCTTTGTTCCGTGTAAAATAAACTGTAATTGTCAATAAACTTGACAATTACAGGATCTTTTTTAAAATTTAAACTACTTCAGTGCAGTATAAATAATTAACTGAAAATAAGCTGTTGTACACCCACATTTAGCTGAAATGACTTCACCAGATAACAAGACATTGTCTTCTTTTTCTCTGTAATTTTCCTCATAACCGCTTTGATCCTTTGCTCATCCTCAGGCTGCCTCTGGGCTCTGGATAGCTTTAGCTACTTTTCCTCTGTTAGTTTCTTTAAAATGTCCATGTTTAAATATCTCTTTAGATTTGTTGTTCTGAACTTTTTTGTTTGTTTGATTAAGCCACCCTTGTTTCTTATCTCACTTCCGTGCTAACAGTGTAGCATGTGGGTAGGTGTGCAACTAATAGCCTGTGCTGCTGTATGTGAGTCATACGTACATTAAAAGGACTGGCTTATAATCGGTCATATGGGAGTCTGACTGATCACCAGACAAGGTGTAAAACACTGAAAATAAGCTGATTCCAATTTATGAACGGTCAATCGGTGCATCTCTACTTTTGCATTCATGACTTGATGCAGGTAATTTACTAAAGGTCATGACATCTCACGACACATCCTGTGGGTGACTAACAGTTTTCGAGGTAATCTGCAGAGCTCCTTTTACCGTATTCTGGCTTCAGAAACGTATAAGGTGTAGAACAGGGTAATGGGTTTTTAAAAAAATGAAAGAGGAAAAAAAAAAAAAATTGAGATTGCATGTCTTATAACCCGATATACTCCAGAGGTATACCTATACAATAGTGACAGGTAGATGGTGCCTCATGGAGTGTAGCACATTACCCCTATTGTGTCGATGGGGGTGTTGAGGTGTTCATTAATAGCGACACCTACTGGATTTAACAGTGCATTGCAGGCAGGGTGGAGAGAGACTGAACTAGGTTCTGAATACTAAATGAGTGAAGGGTCCTTCTTTATGTAACCAGCTGGTGATATAGTCCAATTAATTTGATTATAACAAAATAATGTATTTGAAAAATATAGGGCGACCGTGGCTCAGGGGGTTGGGAAGCGCATCTGTAACCGGAAGGTTGCCTGTTCAATCCCCGGGCTCTCTGTCCTGGTCGTTGTGTCCTTGGGCAAGACACTTTACCCTACCGCCTACTGGTGTTGGGCAGAGGGGCCGATGGCGCGATATGGCAGCCTCGCTTCTGTCAGTCTGCCCCAGGGCAGCTGTGGCTACAACTGTAGCTGCCTCCACCAGTGTGTGAATGTGAGAGTGAATGAATAGTGGCATTGTAAAGCGCTTTGGGTGCCTTGAAAAGCGCTAAATAAATCCAATCCATTATTATTATTATTATTAGTATGTCAAATGCAGAATTCACAAATCTTTTTTTTTTTTCCTTGTGTATGTGGGCGGGAGTTAAACGATCCCAGATTGGAAAAATGTTCTTTTTCCTCCATGGTCCCTTTGTGTAGTGGGTGATGACAAGCCAAAAATTTAAAAGCACAAATGGCACTTAAAGTGGTCTCGTCTACTCCTCAGCACAAATGCGAATGATTCAAAAGTTGCGCTTACGTGTCAGACACTGCTGTTCAGCACAGCAGCTGTTTCACCTGTCACATGATTTTTCTTACAGCGTTGCATGCACTGATGTGGGGTTACGCTGATTGTTATAGCTATAACATACTGGGTTAAGAGATTCCACTGTTAGGCTAATTAGTTAAAAATGTGAGAGGTATGAAGAACTAAGTGTGTTGTGCATGACTGGTGCCATGGCATTAAAGATGTAAAACTTTCTTTAAACAGTCTTTAAATCCCTCTGACACTGATCAAACTCCTGATTGGTTATATTCCTAAGCATATTATTGTACGGTAACTTGCAGTGCTTGTTTCCATTCCTCTTCTCCCTTTTACCACTTTCTCTCTTTTCTCCTGCCTTCTTGCTGCTCTGTCGTTTGGGTGGATATTTGTCCAGGGTGTTGGATGAAGACTTCTACAAGCAACCCTTCTCTGAGCTCATTGGTTATGTGTATGTTGCTCCAACTAACATCCTCCTCTTATTGTTTATTTGTTTTGTTTTTTTCCCCCCATTGTCAACAGCCATTGACATCACACATCTCTTAGAGCATCAGTTTACCTTCTTTCTGCTGCCATGTGTTACTTTCTCCTTCAGTCATACATTTGAAATGCCTGGATTCATAATCGTTACTTTACCTATCCAGCTTGAACTTTTTTCAAATATAACCTGCATTTATAATTTGAACTCCATATCCATATCATCTGCATGACATTTGTGAGTTGATGCCTGTCGGTATATTTCAGTAACGCATGCCATCACATCCATGGAACTCAAATGAATACTTTCACAACTGTGCCCATGTTAATTTCTCATTCATTTCTCTTTGATTCTCTTCAGCAACTCATTATCCAAATGCATTTCATAAATTTCTAACAATTAACACCTGCTTAAACCAACTGTGTAAAAATTAATGAAAATGTTTTGGGTTTTTTTCCACTTAACAACTTTAATGTTGGTTTTCTTGTTTTACTTACAAGTAAGATATGTAGAGATGGTTTGAAGCAATTGTGTGTGGTTTTTCTTTTCCTTAATCTCATATATTCTAGTCATGGCCAAAAGTTTTGAGAATAATACACTTACTGGTTTTCAAAGTTTGCTGCTTCATTGTTTTTAGATTTAAAAAAAAAAAAAAAAAAAAAATTCTCAGTTGTTTCTGTGATGTAAACCAGTATAATTACAAGCACTTCATAAGTTTCACAGGCTTTTATTGGTAATTACATCAACTTTATGCAAAGAGTCAATATTTGCTGGCTCTTCTTTTTCAAGGCCTCTGCAGTCGCCCAGGCATGCTGTCAGTCGACTTCTGAGCCAAATCCTGAGTGATGGCGACACATTTTATTTATTTACTTTTTTCATAATCACTGCTTGGAGTTTGTCACAGTTAGCAGGTTTTTGCTTGTTCACCCACATCTTGAGGATTGACCAGCGTTCTCAATTGGATTAAGGCCTGGATAGTTTCCTGGTCATGGACCTTAAATTTCAATGTTTTGTTCCCTGAGCCACTTAGTTATCACTTTGGCCTCATGGTATGGTATTCCATCATTCTGGCAAAGGCATTGTTATTCACCAAACTGTTCTTGGGTGGTTGGAAGAAGTTGCTGGATGTTTTGGTAGCATTCTTTATTGGGTGAATGCCATGGGCCAGGAGTGTTGAACTCCAGGCCTCGAGGGCCGGATATATCTTCACACTCCTGACACTCACGGTTAAAGAATTTTTTTTGATACCGTTTCCCCATGAATTATGTTTGTTTCAGGATAGGAAATCAGTCGTCCTCTCAGATTTCAAACTCTGGAATTGAAGCGCCTTTTTTCTCTCGTATTCGTTCGTTTTCACGGCAAAGAAGGAAATTGCTAAACTGAAGCAGCAAACTTTGTGTAGACGGTAAATCATTTCACTTCACAATGGTACTTTTGAGGTTTCTTAGTATTATATAAACATCAGATAGCATATAAATAATTAAGAAAACCGTAATTATTTAGAAACATATGCCAGGTTTTTTCTTAAATGCTGAATGAGCCTGGAGTTCGTTTCCAGGCAGTAGTAATTATTGCATGCATTTATTTATTTTTTATATACAAGAAATGTGAAGATATCAAATCGTGGATACACAACTGCTTCAAACTGAGCTGTGTTCATGCTTTATTAGAATGTTAAGATGACCTGCTGATACGCCCAGCTAGCTATCGAATAGCTTGAGCTGTGCAGCCTTTGGTTCTGCTATCAAATTACTTGGGTATATCCATTAGCCTTCATTGTGGTGTGCACGTTTTGTTGCTGTCAGCTTAGTTGCCAAATGTAAGAATTTAGATTGGTGCAAAACCTGGTTTCATGTAAAGAAATTCCAGGCCTCTTGTTATTCCTACATTGCCTCCAGCATTTTAAAGTGTTTTGTTTCTTTCTTGTTGAGCTGCTCATCTGAAAATTAGCATCACGTTACCGCTGTCTTTGTGTTATTTGAATAGTCCTTTTCTCAAAATGTGCACACCCGTGAAGCTTTCCAACTTATTGTTAGCTTGTACTCACCTAAACACAGAATGAAATTTTAGTCTTAGTAATGCATAATAACACTGAATCTTAATCGCTCTACTTCAGTCTTCCTCCATCTGATTGGTGTCACTCTATACCTACTATTTGGAGGAAGTGAGAATTGGAGTGTTATTTGCAAATGTAGGAACATTGTGTGTTTATAATTCATGAAAAATAAGTGAGCTGTTGGACTCTGTAGATCAGATTACTGAGATGATGCAGATGGTTAAATTTATTAACTTTATTACAGATTGAGAAGCTGATATTTTATTTATAGAAAACATAGAAGATCAGTTCAGTTTAGCAAACCAAAGGCTGCACACTAATCATTTTCATTTTTAGGAAAATAAAGCCAAAAGAAAAATGTTGCTTTTGCATGCTGACTTTAAACATCTGCATTTGAGCTCATTTTTGTTGTCTTTTATTTCACCCCCCCCCCCTCTCTCTTTCTTTCTCTCTCTCCTAAATTCTGACTTGTGAAACTGTTTCTCCCTGTTTTCTTTTCCTATGCACCTTAAAGCACACATATTAACCATCCTTGCTACCGCCTAGACCAGTTAAGTAAAAATATAAAACCCCAGAATTTCAAAATACTTTATCATTTTCACAGGGGTTAGATGCAGTTCTGTCTGTGTATGTGTTTATAGTGCATTGCAGAGGTACCCAGTTGAATAGCACAAGAGTTAGATCCAGAGCCTGGAGTTTGGTATAATGTTCCTCCTGTGATGTTGTGGTCCTTCTAGTCCCCTGTGTGTTATAGATGGTTGTGAAAGTGAATGCTCATTAGCTTCTCACCTTCCCTATTTTTCTTTGTGTACTGTGTTTAAGTTATTAGCTCAGGTGGGGTGGAGACTACAAAAGATCCTTTTAAGTAGAACCAAAGAATAGCATTGAGTTTCATGTTTGTGGGTGGGGTGTCACAAGAGTTTAGCCATATCTGTGGCTTGCATCTCAAATTGCCTTGTAATAGTGGAACTGATCCATTTAATTTATTTTTTATTTATTTTTATTTATTTATTTTTGTTCTTGTTTGCATTTGTTTAACTACATAAGTAATCTTTGTAAAGGCCTTTTTTTGGTCTTTGATGGATTTAATGAAGCCACACCCGTGCCTAAATATTTAAAAGTTAATTATCTGTTTGGCATTTGAGACACATAATTTCAACGTCAGCGCATTCCTTGCCACAGCCGAAACACCCCGCTTTTCTGCTTGCCAATGCATGCCTAATGCATTTTTTTTTCTTCGTTTTGTTGTTTTTCTGCTAGGCTTGATTAAAAATCTGAACATGTATTACTGTTCCTATTAATCAAGGACAAGTATACAGATAACTACATATCACTATACTTGGTTCTTGTTGAGTTCCTTAATGAACAGCAATTTTATCCAGCCAGAAATACATTTTTCTTAATTTATTGTTGTTATTGTTGTTATTATTATTATTATTATTATTATTATTATTATTATTATTATTATTATTATTATTTGGGGGGTGGGTTGGTTGTTTTTGGCTTGAGCTTGATTTCTCATTGTTGTGTATATATCTCCCCCTGATGTTGTTGAGAGTAGAATATACAGGTGACTTGCTGTATTCTGTAAAGTGGGGGGCATGCCACAGGTAATGAAGCCGGGAAAGCTTGTTCCTTGTTGATTACTCAGTTTTGGGAGTAAAGATAGATGGATGTTTGTGTGTAGTGATTGGACTGTCCAGCCCTGAGGTAGACGCTGCTGAACTAAAAAAGTCCAACCCAGACAAAATCAGATGGAAAAACTGAGTTTTTAATGCCAGGCTTAAAGTTCAATTTCAGTGTAACCAAAACTGAGAACTTGAGTCAAAATTTCACTGTGTGCGCCTCTGACTTTGTCTAAAGAACTTGTATGTGATGTTAGTCAGCAGAGATCTTTTTCAGGGCTGCACAGCTGTGTATCTTACGACTTCACACACTGATGGGCTCGCTCTTCTGTCTTTTCCTCCTTTAATGCTTACAGGGCGGCTGAGGAAGCCATGATTTCAGATCTGGATGAGAACAACCCAGGCACAGAGTGGGAGCGGGTGGCACGGCTCTGTGACTTTAATCCCAAGTCCAGCAAGCAGGCTAAGGATGTGTCCCGCATGCGTTCGGTCCTCATCTCCCTGAAGCAGTCCCCACTAGTCCGCTAGACACCCAAGGCTGCTCGGGAAATCATTCCATATCATCTTTTTCCATGACACGTCAACGAAACCAACTTCTCATGCCCCTCCATTTGTATTCTGATATCAAGGGGCACTTACACCCCTGTGTCCATATCTGTCAGTCATGCACAGCCTTGTTTCCCCCACCTCACAGGGTATAGTCACTTGCCTTACCCTGATGTATTTCCTCCTGGCAGGGCTGTAAAGATTAGCCTTGATGTACCTGCTCACTATTTTCTGCCCCTTAAAGATTTTACCTATACACCTCTTTAATAAATCAGTCAAGACTTTGTTTCCCTTGTTTAGTAGAAATGAAATCAAGGACAGATCTACACAAGGTCTCAAGGTGTGCGTGACAGTTGTGCAAGGGTGGTGAGTTGGGACACTAAAAGGGAAGGGCTGACATTTGTTTGGGCCAACAGCTACACTACAGTGCTTTACAATG